TATATGGTGCATATATTTAGCAAAATACCCCTCTCTACAGTTTATTTTTCTGGCTGACTAATGAGTTTATGGTCACCGAATATGTTTTTTCTGAGGTAAATGTGACGTTACGTGACACAAGCCATTATACGTGTTTACAAGCCATTATATTGACGTCTTTGCGCAGCTGAAACACTGATTGAGCGATTACATGAGACAGGATACGGATTGTAGAGTTGTACTCTTTCTTTTAACTTACCTTCGGATGTTTAGTCATGTTTATTTTTGTGCTGAAACTGGTATTAATGTGGAGGAGATGATCAGTTCACGAGCGCCTTGCGCTGCCGCTTTTATTGAACCGAGGCGCGCCGCGCTACAGCGATCACTCCAGTCCACATTAAACAGCGCCAAAATGGCATTCATTAACATAATTTGAAATCTGAGACTTTGTTTCATATTAAAAGTAGCAAAGCACAATGCTTATTGTGATTTATTGGATGGGAAGTGCCCTTCAATGTTCCATCCATTAACTGAAAACAGGCCAGACTAATCGATCTTGGGATTTAAGAATCGATATCATTTCGTAAAAACTAAAATCGATTAAAATAAAGAAATTTATATTTTTTACCCAACCCTAATAAATACACATGTAGTGTTAAAATGGAAACTGCTTAATTTGACACGTTAAATAAATAAATAAAATTTTAATATTTAAATCACAGACATCAAACAATTCAAATTTTCAAATATTTATTTATTTAGTCTTTAGAGTGCACAGAATATAAAGTTATTTTAAAATCCCATTACAATTGTAGTACTAGGGCAGACTGCTGTGAAAGGCTCATGTACTGATTTTAGGCAGAGACATTGCCATGAATCTGCAAGCGCTAACACAGAATATAGTGTAATTAGATGATGATGTTTTGTGTTGCCATAACACACTGCTAGCTCTCTGCTTGTTTTCCACAGTACCCTGAAATACTCATGCAGTCTGACTCTATTCTGAGTGAATAATAAGCGTGTTATAATCATCAGAGAACTGAGGAAAGATCTGTGGTTATGAATGTCTCTGTGACTCACACTGATATACTGTAGCAGCTCAGATCCTCCAACATTAACGGGTTACTTTACACAAAAAAAAGACAATTCTCTCCTGGTTTACTCACCTTCATGTCATTCCAAAAAGGATGTTTTGAAAAAAAAGTCTCTGTGTATTTTGTATGTCCATACAATCAACTGTCCAATGTTGAAAATATCTTCTTTACTGGTATATAATGACATGAGAATGAGTAAATATAAAAAAAGATATTAAAAAAATTATATTACACCTTTTATCAATATTTTGAATTAGCTTTTATTTTTATATATTTTTTGTTTTAATTTTTATAATTTTTTGTTCTTTTTAGGGTTATTTAGGTTTAATTATTTCAGTTTCAGTTTTATAGTAATTTTAGTACTTATTTCATGTAGTTGTTCATCTAATATTCATTTTTATTTTATTGTAATTAATTATTTTTAATTAACAAAATATTTCAATAGTTTAATAATTTGGGGGGGGGGGGGGG